TCCACGTAAATTCGTGTGTCTCCTTTATTTTATCAATTCTTAAATTATTTTACTTGTTTGGTTGTCCTATTTTATTGGTAATAGGAAAGGAGATTTTGTTGGGATTCGTTTCCGTAGTGTGTTGTGTTTATGCCCTTTCCGCCACAATATTTACTTACTTCCTATCGATAAATTAGTTATCTGGACTGTTACTTTAATCTGGTCCTAGTCCTGCAATGATCGGAAGGAAGTCTATTGTTGCTCTTTCTTTCCGAAGAGCAATCTAACACTTTGAGAGATGGCGTAACTGTAGCTGATTCTTCATTCTTCTCTGAATCTGACTTGTAGTTAAGAGTATGCCACTGTCCATTTGTAAGATTGATGATGAATATAGCAGCGCCATTGTATGACTGACAAATCTTTGATAATACATCGAAGTTAGCTTTACAATTGCAAGGTCCTATTGGCTCGAGGTTTACATTTACCTTATGTCCCTTCATCCTTTTCAAATGAATTTTCTGTAAATCTAGATATAAAAGTTCTTTCTTTTCTTTTCCCCCTTTATTGATTTTGCGAGTTTTGGACCTTTCATTTTGTTGTTGGAAAGATATGCTTTGAAGCGGAGCATTTTTTATTTTTATTTATTTATTTTTTAAAATGGGAGCATTTTGTTGTGGGGCTTTTTCCCCAAAAAAATTAAATAAAATAAACGTGGACAAAATTAAATTTTTCAGAATATCTGTGGACAGAAATATATTGCTCGGATTTCTGAAATCCGAGTGTTGATTAATATTAGAGATTCGGATTTTGTAAATCCGAATCCATACTTAATAATAAAATAATAATTTCATAAATTTTGTTGAATAATAGTTTTTTTAGTTCTTTAGTGAACAGTAAAGCTCGGATTTGTAGAATCCGAGTTTAGTTAAAAATTAATAAATCGCGGCGCGAAATTTTTGAACCCAAAAAACCGGAAGTCCGTAATCCGGTTTGACGAATTCGGATTTTAGAAATCCGGATGCCTTTAATTTTGGTTGGTGGAAGCAGGCATGTGCCTTAAATTGGAGGACCAACAAATTAATAAAATAATCCTGAATTGACTAAACTCGGATTTAGGAAATCCGAATCTAACACAGTTCGGATTTCGAAAATCCGAGTTACTTACGGACTCGGATTTCGTAAATCCGAGTTTAACGTGCTATAAAAGAAAAAAAATTTCAGGCAGTTCTCATTCGAGAATTGAGTTGGATTTTCTGTTTTTGCAGCTCAAACAAGGGCGAATTGAAGTTTTTGATGCATTCTTGCCTCTAGATACGTGGAAATCGTTATTTGAAAGAGGTTAGATTGCAAAACCATGTTATTTAGTTTATTTTTGTGTTATTTTGATTGTTAGAATGATGTATGATAGATTAGGGTTTATGTTGGTTGGTTGTTTGGATGTTTTAGGTGTTGATTTTGAGGTTAGAGATGAGAAATCATAGTTCGTGAGATATCGAAGTTGATTTATAAGTATTTTAGAATGGTGTATTTGTTGGAGTATGTATGGTGTATGGTGTATGGTGTATTTTAGAGAATGTATGGTGTATTTTGTTGATTTTGTTATTAAGAAATGATTAGTTATTGATGTTTTTTTTAACAGTTATCAATGGCACGTAATGTATCATACATGCTTAATTTGTATCATACAAGTAAGTATGTGATAGAGAACGGTAGCATCAACACTTTTTCGAATATGCCGGATGATGGTTTGTTTGTCGAAGAAAGGTTGTCATATGAGGGATTGATTAGTAAGATTTGTATGACCCTTGGTTGGGATCCAGCACACGTGAAACTCCACCTTTCTTTAATTTTCGATAGTCCCGGTGGTAGGCGTGTAGTGAAGATCAAGAATGATTCGCATGTAGAGTTCATGAACCGTGTAGATCCAATGTCATGTTTGGATTTATACATAGATTTGGAAGATATCACTCAAGAAGAAAGAGAAGCGAGTTTGGAAAACGTGTCATTTGGTGATTTTCGAAGGGGGGAACGTGCTAGTACTTCTCGAAACCGTGATGAAGAGGAGACACCTTTATTTGCACAAAATGACTACCGGGAAAAGTTGGATTCCGACTACATAGCTCCAAGTGAAAGCGAAGAAGACTGTGATGTCTCCAGAGAGAGTGATTTTGAAGAAAGTGATGATGAAAGGTTGGAAAATGAGGAAAGGGATTGTAATCTATTCGCCCGACGCCATGTATATAGTAAGATGGGGAACTGGGATGCCTCATGTGTAGACAAGGATGAGTTTGCTCTTAAGATGTGGGATGAGACGCCCGAAGGAATGGACATTGGTGTTTGTTTCAAATCTCAATCAGAAGCAAAGCATGCTGTGAAATTATGGAATATCCATCATAAAAGGGAATATACGGTCGCCGCGAGTAGTCCAAGGACGTGGGCTGTGCGGTGCATAACATTTAATGTGGAAAGTGAGGATGGTGAACCACCATGTGAGTGGAAGATGTGTGTGTCATTGAAAGCTCACGGCCTTCATGAAATTGTGAGATGGCATGATGCACATAATTGCATGACTCTGTGAATGATAATGACAATCGGTGTGTGGACGCGTCTTTGATTGCTAGACTCATCAGGAGAAAGGTTGAGGACAACGTAGATTATACGGTAGCCTCGGCACAGAAAGATGTGAAGACCTTATTGAAAGTAGATGTGCCATACAAAAGGGCGTGGCACGGGAGGAGGAAAGCCATAGAAGCGGTTTATGGTGATTGGACCTCCAATTTCAAGAACTTCCACGGTAAATATCAACTTTTATCCGTGTATTGAAATATTTATAGTATTTTTATTTTTACATGTATTGAAATATTTTAACAATGACTTGTTGTTGTTTAGGTATATCGCTGCACTTAAGTTTACTAATCCTGAGACTGTAGTAGAGTGGGAATGGAAGGAGGGACAAGAAGGTTGGAACAGGGGAAACCGGACATTTAAATACGTCTTCTGGTCATTTGCACCGGTGGCTGAGACGTTTTTTGAATGTCCACCGGTCATTTGTATCGATAGAACCTTTTGCGTGGTGGATACAAGGGTAAATTGCTTGTTGCGGTGGTGTATACCGCAAACAAGCACATTTTACCGGTTGCATTTGCGATTGTTGATGAGGAGACAGAGAGAGTTGGACATTTTTATGAGGAATTTGAGGTTGTGGGTTGTGTATGATAGAATCGTAAGTGTGATATCCGACCGGAATGCGGGTTGTTGAGCGCAATGTCACGGATGGATGAATGGCGTGATTTAGGTGATGGTGGGCACTTTCTTTGCCTCCGCCACGTTCGCAGCAATCTTGTGTCGCGATATAATAGCAAAAAGGTGAAGCGGTTATGTTGGAAGATGGGCACGACACTTTCAAGAGTGAAATACAACCGTATGAGGCAGAGCTTATTGAATTCAAACTCGCTGCATGGGAGTATCTTCGAGGGATTGGGGGAGTAATCGGGCTCGATTGAAAGCCGGTCTTCGCCGTTGGGGCATAGCGACAACCAACATTTCTGAGAGTTACAACAATGCGTTGAAAGGGATCCGTTTTTTACCAATTAGAGCCTTGATCGATGCAACCTTTCGTAAAACTGTTAAATTCTATAGAGAAGAACAATTGTCTGCGAGAAATTGCATGACACCGATCCCTCCCGAGTTATGGAAAAATACGAGAAAATGAATGATAAAGCAGCCGCTTTGAAGCCACCCCTTTCGATGGTGATGATGCTATGTGGCGTGTTGTTACCGCCACACGCCTAAGTGGGGGTGGGTCTCGTATACGGTGAACTATGATGAACATAGGTGTTCGTGCAGAAGTGGCAAGAGTACCGGATGCCTTGTACGCATGCACTCCAAGTTTGTCGGAGAAAAGGGGATCGGCCTATTGATCTATACCATAGTGTGTGGCGCCTTCCAACGTGGCGCAGACAATTTCATTACACGGGCTTTGTTCGGTTCCCGATGAGGAACAATGGCCGATGGTCAATTGGAACATCATTCGAATTATGAGCGTCTTGTGTTGCATGCGGGACCGGACGAAGACAAAAAGGAGACATAGAATGCAAATGGATTACGGGGACGCCGGAGCCGGGGAATGTTGGAGATGTGGACAACTAGGTCATGATGCCAATTCATGTCCTTTCTCGCACCCAGGAGTAGATAGAAGACCTGTGAATGACAGCTGGAATTGAGTGTAATTTACTGTTCTTGCAAGTTATTTAGTGTTTGATAAATTCGGATTGTAATGTGAACATTGAATTTTTCGGATTGTAAAGTGTGATGAAATATGTACTATTTTTCATAATCAAAATCGGATTGTGCAAAATACTCATCATTGTAAGGTTTTGTGAAGAATTCGGATTTCAGAAATCCGAACTCAGAGTTTTTTTTTGAAATTGCAAAGGACTCGGATTTCAGAAATCCGATTGGGTGAAAAGCATCCGAGAGTTGCAATTTGAGGAGAAACAGGGGAGATTCGGATTTCCTAAATCCGAGCTCAGAGATTTTCTCGAATTTACTAAGAACTCGGATTTATGAAATCCGTGTTTGTGAAAAGCATCCGAGAGTTGCAATTTGAGGAGAAACAGGGCAAATTCGGATTTTGTAAATCCGAGCTCAGAGACTTTCTCGAATTTACTAAGAACTCGGATTTATGAAATCCGTGTTTGTGAAAAGCATCCGAGAGTTGCAATTTGAGGAGAAACAGTACTAACTCGGATTTCGCTAATCCGAACTCAGAGTTTATTTTTAATTTGCAAAGGACTCGGATTTCAGAAATCCGTGTTTGTGAAACCATCCGAGAGTTGAAATTTGAGGGAAATAGGGAAGACTCGGATTTAGCAAATCCGAGTTTGACGGGACTATATATTGTTCCGTCAACATTTCCCTTCTCATTTTTCCCCCAATTCCAAAATTAAAAAACCCTAAAACTAAACTCCAATTAAACAAAAATCCGGCTACTCCCACCACTCAATCCGGCGACTCCCTCCATGACCTCCAATTTCCGGCGACTCCCACCACTCTCCGGCGACTCCATTTCCGGCGACTCTCCTCCCTCTGGTCAATCCGGCGTGTCTCCTCAAATACTCTCCACCTCCGGCGACTCCTTGCAATCCGGCGACTCCCTCCGAGACTTTCCACCTCCGGCGACTTCCTCCACTCCTCCCGACTTCCTCCATTCCTCACTGTAAGTTTGAAATTCGCGATCCTCTCTTTATTTTTTTTTTGTCAAAATGTTTTTTTTCTTTGTGAAATCCGAGTCCTTTTTTTTTTGAATTGTGGTTGGTTTGTGTTGATATAGTGTTTGTGTTGAATTTAAATTGTGTCTATTGTGAATTGCTTATAGTTTGGTAGTCTTGTTTATTTGGCCGAATAATTTGAAGTTTGGTTGATTTGTTTTTTTGGCCGAGTGTACATCGTTTGGTTGATTTGTTATTTGGCCGAATGTATATAGTTTGGTAGTCTTGTTTATTTGGCCGAATAATTTGAAGTTTGGTTGATTTGTTTTTTGGCCGAGTGTACATCGTTTGGTTGATTTGTTATTTGGCCGAATGTATATAGTTTGGTAGTCTTGTTTATTTGGCCGAATAATTTGAAGTTTGGTTGATTTGTTTTTTTGGCCGATTGTACATCGTTTGGTTGATTTGTTATTTGGCCGAATGTATATAGTTTGGTAGTCTTGTTTATTTGGCCGAATAATTTGAAGTTTGGTTGATTTGTTTTTTTTGGCCGAGTGTACATCGTTTGGTTGATTTGTTATTTGGCCGAATGTATATAGTTTGGTAGTCTTGTTTATTTGGCCGAATAATTTGAAGTTTGGTTGATTTGTTTTTTTTGGCCGAGTGTACATCGTTTGATAGTTTTGTTATTTGGCCAAATGTATATGGTTTGGTAGTCTTGTTTATTTGGCCGAATGTTTATGGTTTGGTTGATTTGTTTTTTTTTGGTTACCTTGTGTAGGATTGAAATGGCGACGCCGGCATCGGGCTCCCAATATGACTATCAACCTAAACATCTTCACCCGGGACCTATACAAGATAAAATGCTATATCGTCAAACAAAGCATAGGTCCCAAGCTGTCTATAAGAATAGGATACCGGACATTAAGACATTCCGCCTCAAGGGCCGTAGGTACGACAGCGATTTTTGGGCGTTATATAAAAATACGGCCCGGAGGTTAAGGAAGTCATTAGGAGAGCCGGTTTTGAGGGGATCATGAAGGTAGGGTACAAAGAGTTGATCTAGGCCTCATTACCGCGTTGGTGGAACGGTGGAGGCCGAAACCCACACTTTCCATTTTAATTTCGAGAGGCGACGGTGACGCTACAGGACGTCGAGGTCTGTTTGGTATTCGGTGGATGGTGACCCGGTGTACGGCACGACAGTTAGCCGGACTGCAGATGAATGGAGGGATCGATGTGAGGCTTATTTGGGATTCCGGCCGGCGATTGTAAATGGCCAATGTGTCAATGTTGGTATTTTCAAGATGAGATGGGCCGTGCACTACCTTCAAATTCCACTGTCCATCGATTCGAGCAAAGGGCCAGACACTTATACCGCATTTTATTAGCAGTTTCATGTTTCGAACAAGACGCAGAACACCTGTCAATCTACGGTTCTTGGCCCAGTTGAGGATTTGGATCGGTGTAGTCGATACTGATTGGGGATCGGCACCGCTTGGCCGGGTTGTACTGCCTATGCGAGGCATCACAAGATACCATGCACGACGCCACCGGGTGTCTATATTTGCTACAGTACGTATTAGTTTTCATATTGTGCTTTAATTATTTTGCGCTTTCGACGTTATAATTTGAAGTTTCTACATTATTATTGCAATTTACTAGGTATGGGCGTATGAGCGGATCGAGAGGATCGCGCCCCAAAGAAAAGGAGTAGATTATTTGCTTGATGAGACCGCTCCATTAGCTCGCCGGTACGTATTTTCAGTTCAAAATAACTCAACGTTTAATTCTATTTGTTTCTTATTCATTTATTTCACTAATTCAAATGTACCCCTTTGTTTATTAAGGTGGGAATGTAGGTACACGTACGGCGACGCCCCAAGGAGCAGACTCCACCGTTTAGAGATCAATTAACAAGTCTGCGTGTTGAAGATGTAAGTACTTGTAATTTGGTATTTATATTTACTTTGAGATCAATTACCCCTTTCTTTTGGTTTCGGTTGTACCATCTAATGAAATTTTTTCGTGCGCTTCGGTGGCAACCATATGCACATGTCCTCCATAGACTCCCGATTTCGTACACAAGGCCAAGCCATTTGGACGACTAGGTGTTGGATGTTCTGTTGGGCTATTAGGGAACCCCACGAGTCGGGCGAGTCGTAAGACAATTTGGATACATACAGGATGTTCCCAAGCGCCCTATGATTAAAGATAACGCAGCATTTCTTCTCGATCACGCCCACGTATGTCCAGGTATCCTAGCAATAATTGGGAGGATCACCATTCCGCAAAGACGCCGTCATTGGAATAGGAGAGAAGAGTTCGTGCTACGAGATTTGGAGGAAGGAGATCCTGGTTCCGTATATGAGGGGTACTATGAATGGTTTATGGTGAACACCGCGATTGATATCCAATCCGGTAATTATGAACCTCAAGGATACGAGACTTCTTCGAGCCGCGTGAAATTATATGTGAGTTAATTGTAGATTTCTTTTATTATTTCTTATGTTTCTATTTTTTTTTCATTTTTTTTTTAGAACTTTACTCTCTTAATTAACGTCCCAATTTCTTTTCAGGGTGAAGTATTGAACAACATTCGCGTGAGTACCGAGAGGTTTAGAGAAAAACGAGAAGATGATAATCTCCTAGACGAAGAACTTGACAAGCATTTGGACGATATCATCAATCAAACACATGCTGCCTTAACCTTGGGCGCAAATGATGAGATGGAGGTGGATGATACCCAAATCCTGGTTGATGAAGATCCATTTTTTCCCTCACAACCTCCGCCGGGTAAAAAAGCGAAACCGTGGTCAAGAGATAAGATTGGAGGAGGAAGAAAGAGAAAGGTCACAATCCCCCCTCGGACATCGCAACAACAAACTGAGGGTCAACAAAATGAGGATCAAGCACATTCCTCTCGAGGCTCGCGCATCCAGGTCGAGACTCATTTTGAAGAAGCTGGTGGACCCGAGACTCAGTTTGACATTGGTGGACCTGAGACTCAGTTTGGTGGACAGTCGCAACCACAACCGGGAGTCAAATTTATCACCATGGGGAGTCCCAATCTCAACCCCAAATCGAGGCTCGGTTTGGTGGACAATGCAAGCACACCAAAGTTCAATACTCACATATCTTAAGAGGGGAGACAGGATCCGACAGGGCCCAAACAAATACACTCCGGATGCGCATAATAAAGGAAAAGGGAAAAAATGAGACATTTCATTATTTTGGACATTTATTGTAGTTTTTGTATTGAACTTTTATGAAACTTGATTTATTTTGTTGTTAATTGAATGCCGTTTATTGTTTTGTTGTTATTAAATTCCTATTTTCCAATGTTTCATTGTTGTTGGTGTCAGAACATGTTTAGGACTGGTGAAAGTCACCCAATTTTTTTCAGTTCGACAAAGACTCGGATTTGCGAAATCCGAACCAGATTTTTCTAAAGGATTCGGATTTGAAATCCGAGTCCGTGGCCAATCGGGAGTCACCATTTTTCGAAAATGAGAAGATTCGGATTTCGTAATCCGAGTTCGCCCAATTTAATTTTTCAACACATTTTTTTATAGTATCCGGAAATTAATATTTTATTCATAAAATCGGATTTATAAAATCCGGATTTAGATTAATTACACTAATTTTTGTCATTAACTTAATTTCAGATTTACGTAATACAAAGTCGGATTTTAATAATCCGAGTTTAGTTGGGGTCGGATTTCCGAAATCCGAGTTTTTCCCCCATTCGGATTTCCTAAATCCGGGGCATATAAATTTGTCCACAAGGTTTTAAAAAGTTTTATTTTTGTCTAGGTTTTTTTTTTTTACATATATTTAAGGAAAAAATTCTTTTGTTGTGAAGATTGAGCAACCTTGTCATAAACTTTGTTAAAGTAAAAATTTTCCTTTTTTGTGTATTTCACAAGTGCTCGAAACCAATGCCCAATTAAATCTAGATTTTGTGATAGGTAGGTTCTTTCCGGAGGCCGAAGTTCAGAATCTTGAGTTACATTATCGCGCTACTCTCAACATCTAGTCGACCATTCAGCTGAAGTCTAATAACTTGTTATTTGAAGTTCAAGTTCTACAAGAAAGGACCAGAGAGCACCCCCAAGAAGTCCTAGTCACCCAGATGTCAGAATCATTGTTGATCATGAAAGGAAGAAAAAAAAAACGTTCAACATAAGGAATTTCAACTATTTAATCCGAGGTTTTAACTAAAACAAACTTGCTAATTCTAAGAACTGGAATCCTATCACTGAGAAAGTCTTCTAGTATTTCTAATAAATAGACTGCCCGACCTTTTTAGTCCCTAAAGTATTTTTCAATTTAATTTTCGTTTTAAAAAATTTTCACCTGAAAAAAATAGTCTTGATAATCTTTTTTTTTTGTTTGTTCCCAAGTGGTCCTATTTATCGGATCTGGCCACCATTTCGGCAAAATCTGATTTTTTTAATTACTTTTTAGAAATAAAAATTATAGTTTTTCTTTAATATTTTATGATTTATCAATTTTTCTCTATTTTTTCAAAAAAAAATTCAATTGAGCCAAATTTAAACTTCACCTTACCACTTTTTAAATTTTATCCTATTTCCTTTATTGTATCCGAATTAAATTTTAACTATTCAGAAATGTAAAATTTACTACATTGTCTAACTTACTCTCTCTCATATTTTACCCTTAACACTAAAAAATTTTAAAATATTTATTTATTTTCTTCTCATTTTTTTTTTAATTCTGTTGGCCCAGTACTAACCAACTATCAGTTTTTTAGTATTTTACTGAGAAAAATAAAAAAAAATAATTCAAATGATAATGTAACTAATAAAACAAGTCTAAAATAATAATTAAATTAAATTAATTTTACATAATAAATTTTTTAAGAATATTTAAATTCAAAAAAAATATCATTTCAAATGGTTTTTTTTAATCTTTCTCTCTCTAAACTTTATTTTTAGCCAATTAACCACTTTTTCAAATTACAACATTTTGTATTTTTGAATTTTTATTTTTTAATGTCTTATTATACTTTTTCGTATCATATAAGATATTCAAAACCTAATTTTATTTTATTATATCTATATTTATTATGTCAATAAAAAACTAAAACAATGAGTATATGCGGAAAAAAAAGTACACTCACACCCGCATGCGCAACCACAACCACCAACATTTTCATCTTCTCCTGAAAAATAAAAAACTTATCACCACTTTTCGGGATATAAAAACTATAGTTTCTCCGATCTTTTAATGATTTTTTCTGGTTAAAAGGTAAAATAAGTATGATGCAAAAAATATGGATAAGGTAAAATCAAATAAATTTTTTTATTTTTTATGACCTGAAAATGTAAAATACAGGGTAAAAAAGGATGGCAATAAGCAAATTTGAAACTTTAGATTTTGAAAAAATAGTTATTCGGGAAAACAAAGAATTGGATAGAAAAACTAGGGGGGGATTGAATTTCACTTTTTTAAAAAAAATTTTACAACAATTTACCGTAGAAGATTTCATCAATTTAATAATATTTTATTAAAAAAATTCTTATTACTCTATTAATTTTAGGATTTTCTGAGATAAAAGGATGAAAATGAATGTTTCATTTAGTAATGAATCAGCAGAATAAAAGATAACAGGGTTCTATTCGGGGTAAAAAAGGGAGTAGTAGGATAAACAATTTAGTGAATTTTATATTTTGAATAGTAAGATTTAATTCGGATAAAAGTGAGAGAGAGTAAACAAACAACAGAAGAGAAAGCAAAAGTGGAAACGAAAATCAGAATACTAGTTAGTAAAATAGATGAAAGCATTTGGCAATTGCCTAGGAGCTAGAAGAAGCACACAGTGAGATCACCTTTTTCAGTACAAACAGATTAACAAATTACATATTGGCCTTGCTAATTCTGTAGAGGATGATTAGTTTCACTACAATGCCATCAGTCCATGTGTCAGGGGAGGTCAAAATCCATGCTCGATGAGTTGGACTTGACGGCAAGAAGAATGTCACCTACAATCCATGGAAAACCCAAGCATTTCACACTTCCTTCACAATAGGTTGGGTGGTAAGTGACATAATACCATGCTGATGCCAGCTTCTTATGCTCATCTGCTGTTTTGCAATGGCTCTCAAACCATCCTCTGGCTTCCTTCTGCAGGCTTTTGCTAGATACTAAGATACGGTCTTTCAATTCTCCATATCTCCTGTTATCTCTTTGCAAGTAAGCTGATTTGTGACGTAAGTTCCCTGTCAGTATTTCATCTTCAGTCTCTCCTTCGTAATAGGTTAGCAAAGTACTCATCTTATCAATATACATCCCTTTGTGGATCCCAGCAATTTCGAGATAGTCTTCATAGCCATCAACTACAAGCTCACTGTCAAAGGCATCCTGGACAAACTTTGCAGAGAATACAAAGCTGGACTTCCAAGGAATTTTAGATGCCAAAGTGGCACGGTAAAGTATACCTAAAACTCCTTGTGAGGTGTACATGGGTTTGTCCCACCTCTCCATGAAGTCTGGAAACTCTCTAGGTTTCAGGAACTGAGGCATCTCAGCCGGGGACCCAGTTTTTGCAAAATCAACAGCCATAGAGTGAAGTGCAGCTAACTGAAGGCATTTTGCACTCAAAGCTTTGTCGGGCTCACGGTCTGCGTGTACCAAATGTGCAGTAGAAATGGTGCCCAGGGTATCACTGATCATATAGTCAACAAAAAATTTTTGTATTTCCTGAAATCATCGGGGAGACCAAAGAATGGTTAAATTACGAATGAAACAAATTGTTGCATGCATATTTTTAACAGAAGTTACCTCTAAAATTACGTCATGATCCACAAGACGCTTTCTTCGGTCTGTGTAGTCCATGGGTGCCACCATCTGACACGGAATGAGACTTTCATCCCAGCTGACGAAGTACAAATCACCATCAAGGTCACCACCAGAGCATTCACTCGGATGCGGCCTGCAAATATGGCACCTTCAGGTTATCAATATATATGAAACTATGCAAGCAAGCAGGGCACTTATAAATTGTGAAGGATACTTTTGAATTCAGATAATTGATCTTGAAAGGGAGTGAAGTAGCATCTCAGAATGTAATGAACTATTTAAACTGAAAATAAATTTTGTTTGTCCAATTCACAATCCTATAAACAATGGTTTCTACTATGCGAAAGAAAGCAAAAGTTAATGTCACCTTGCATTTTCCTGTGTTTAATTCAGTCTATATAGTACATAGTTTTGACTGTGGTTCCCTTCGGAATAATATATCTACAACCAAGAGATCCTCCAATGCCTAGCAAAGGTTCTGAAGAATGCATATTCGTGTTTATTCACACATTCTTTAAGAAAAATAACAGTGCAATTAATTAAATATGGATTTTAAGAATATATCCTTGAGCAGTAGATATGGCAATAAGACAAGCAATGGTTCAACTAAAATTTCGACAAAAAACTTCCTTACCTGTCACCTTTCTGGGGGAATATAACACAATCAAAAAGACCTTTTTCCTCTAAAGCCACCTCATAAACAGCCTCAAGGACTCTAACATCTCCTGGATGAAGACACGGGTTCTTTGTGACCACAACTTTCCCCGTAACTATTGCAGTTCCATCATCCGTTATACGGAATTTCTTTTCACCACCTAGTTGCTCGGCTTTGGTCAAAGTTATACGAACATAAATCTGTCCATAACTCAAAATTCCCGTTTCATCTAGGCATCCAAGTAGTATCCGGCCTTTTGGAACAAACAATCTACACCTACCCCTCAAATCAGAGAGCTGGTTTTCACGATATGATTGTAGCATCATCGAAAGATAAGGTTCCATACAAGGCTCATAACCATGAAGCAACATTTTCACCACAATACTTTTGGATTCCTTAATTCCCATGCTTGCCAAAATATCTACGGCATCATCGCGATTCGTCAGCATCTTGTCCAGCTGCTGTAGTTGGTTATCTTGCAATTCCAGGAATGGTTGGTCCTCAATGCCCAAGGTGGACAAAAGAGTAACAATCTCCCGGTTCAAATAGCAAGGCATTGCTTCATTCCACTTAGTTACATTGAGCATCCTGTTCTTTGACTCAAATTTATGCATACTATCACGAACAGAAATTTTTCGGAAAGAGTTGCGGTCCACGGCCAAAACACCTTTATATCCACCATATCTTATTTGAAATGCGGAGGGGGTGTGATTTAGTCCGCACTTTTGGGCAACCTGTCTAGCAAAAGCTTGAGAAATCTTTCCAATACCATCTGAGAAGCAATAGGTGTCACCATCAGTTATCACTTCTATATCACAAATAACCTCAACATGCTGTGGTGGTACTTCAAGAGTTTGTACAGAGGTGCTAAACAACTGGCCCATTCTCGCAGCACATTTGGATATACTTCGAATCTTGTTAAAGCAACCCATCCAGTCTCTGATCTCTTCTGCTCTCAACTCATCATTAGACGCAAACATCCAGACGGAATTTGAACGCAACTGACTGGCTGAGAAGGCCAGAAAAAGAAATCTCTTCTGTCCGATTACAATCCCATCTTTAAGGATAGACAAAATCCGATAGTAGATGTTTGTCCGGTAGTTCTTGGCAAATAAACCACGATCCAAAGATGTATAAACAGCACCAGGTGAAAGCTTACCCCAATCTTCATCTACAAAAGTAACTCTCACAAAATCTGAAGCATGTTTCGAAAAGTTCCTCACAACATAGTTTGATGTTTCAAGCTCTGGACCCATGCAGTATATCTTTGTTGGTGTTACAAGCACTCTATGACACTTCATCATATTATTATTTTTCAGATTGCCGAGGGATGATGCAAGACCTTTACCCTTTTCTGCCATAGAATGCAGTGTGTTGTTGATGAATAACATGGGCTCATAACACATTGATGGCAACTTGTGCATTTTTTGAAGAATCAAATTTGCAGTGTCCCAATCCAATCTATTCAATTCCTCCATCAGGCGGGCATCAACAGCCCCAAGGCTCAGTTTTTGGGTATGGATCAGCGAGTTAAGCTGAAAGAGAATCTCATATGATAGTTTGAGGTCTGGGTGGCAATTTATAAGGGGAACCAGATCAGATGAAATAGAAACTTCTGCTCCTTCAAGATTTAGTTCGAGCAGATCTCCATTATAATATGGCAGATTCTTGGATGGGTCCAAAAGGCCCAACATAGAAAATTCTCCCTTCATTTCTAAACAGAGAGTTGATGAAAGACCAATGGATTTTATGCCAGAAAATTCAGTAGTGCGAACCCAAACGAAGTCAAAATCTTCCTTGCAAACATGATATCTGTCAGCACCAAACTTTGAAGCAACATTGGTTCCTGAAACTTTTCTGTGTATTTTTGGTGCATGTTTAAGCTGGAAAAAAAAAAAAAAAAAAAAAAAAGGATAAGCAAAGAAGACTTCCACCTACAAGTCTTTAATGGTACATAAAAACATTTTCACTTTCAGCCAATTGCATTTCATGAGCCAAACCTGAAATGTCATTCCAATTTGCATACAACCAGAAATAAACTGGTTGCTTAAACAAGAAACACGAAAAAAGAAAAAATGAGAAAACCCAATCAAGGCAGAATGGTATTCCTTCAGAGTTTGTATATAGTGCTTTAAATCCTAAGATGAAATAATTAACAAAATCAGTGCTTCATCATGTAATCCAGAAGAACTGGTAAACATCTACTTATTAAACAACTTGAAGCAGAAAGCAATCAGACTTAATATTTTGCAGTATATTAAAAAAACGTAAATCAAAAGGCACCAAAAATCATTCTCCGGCAGTTAATTCCATAATAAGCCTTCATTAGGATTCACAACATCGATCAGCATGTACCCACTGCAGCCGGATGTAAAAACATTATTCATACTCAACCTTTTAACTTCTCTTTTCCTCATTAGCAGCTAACTAGACAGCCTACCACTTTATCCCCAAGCTGTGAATATTGGACAAAAAGCATTATATGCGACGGTCAACTCAAGTCAAACAACTGATTGCTTTACCAATTATATTAATCACTGAAGTAGCTGACTGTACTGAGAAAGGTAAAAGATCTAAGCATAGCCCACGATAATCAGAAAATTTCCAAAGCAAAAATTACACAATTGTTCAATTAGCGAAATGTACTAGAAAAACCACCAAAAAGCCAAAGAAGAAACTTGTGCAATGGTAAAAGCACAGGCTCAATAAAGAAATAAACAATAAACTTTTGATATGAACTACCACCGGAAAAATGCAGAAACAGTCCATAAGAAGGATTAAAAAACATAAATCAAACCTTCAGAAGAACAGCACGGGATTTTTGCGCATTCAAAGAGCACTCACAGCTCTCCAGCACATCATGAAATTGAACTTCCAGCTTATAGGTGTCTTCACCATAGGTCAACCAAAATTCAATCGCCTTCCTCTCACGCATAACCCAGAATTTGACGCCATACCAACTCTCCAAGACAGTCATGCAATCCTGCTTCCCCAAGAACCCAGTATGCAAAACCCCATTTGGAATCCTGAGGTTAGGATCCACAGGCCTGTAGATGACCTCGTTGAGGGAATGTGAAAGCCTTAAAGCATAGCCTCTAAACAGCAGTTTTCCTTCCTCGGATAGGGTTAAAGCTCTCACCTTTGCATCAAGGGTCTCAAACTGGACCCTACCATGGCCTTTGGACTTCCAATTCTTCCTCTCTGAGAAGATTTCACAAGCAAATACGGTGTCCTCACCGATTACTGATTCAAGGAAAGCCAAGAGCTCTGCGGCCGTGACTGTAGGGGAGATGTTTTGTGCTCTCACAGTAGCTGTGATCCTCTCTTCCGCCATTACAACCGAGTTGGGGAAAGAGCTTTTAGCAATCCAATTCGAACGCTGAAGTAAATAACAAAGGTTAATTAATTATTCAGTGATCCTTCCACAGTAATCCTAAAACTTTCTTGGACTACATATAATCGAAGAGGAAGGAGGAGGAGGGTTCGACGCGGCGAACATCGGATATGCATGTGGATTACTCAAAAAAATCGCCGGAATTCATGAATTGCGATGGCGAAGGAATTAATGGTGGTGGTGGTGGGGGTGGTGGTGGGAAGAGTGAAGGTGTTGGTGGAGAGAATGGTGACGTTGGCCTGGGAGCTGGGATGAAAAGGTTATAATTTATGTGGAATTATTTTTTTTTCTCGTTAATTAAAGTTTACCGTAATGGGTTTGTAAAATTTTCATTCCTACCCAAAACTTTGCCCTCGTCGTCAATCATACCTAATAGATTTTCGGTTACCCAACATTACTCTAATATTTGAAATTTTTGCAATTTCGTCCAATCGTCTTATTTTCCGTCCAAATTAACGGATCTCCGTTAGTTTTTAATAAAATAATAAATTTAAATACAAAAATACCCCAGTAGTTTGTAAAAATTTTAAAAATAACCCTTAAAATATATAAAAATAACAAAATAATCCTTTTTCACTTTTTTATTTTATTTTTATCTATTTTGTTCCATTTCTCCCAAATACTTTTAATGACCATAAAAGTATATTATATGAGTTTTAAAAAAATATTTATTTATTTTCAAACTCTATCGTAAAAGTTAATCTCTGTATAGTTGTAACACGTGATTGTATTTATATAAGCATGTTAATCTTTTTAATAATATAGTTTAGCAATAAAGATACTATTTTTCTGATTTATTTCATTCTTCCTAAAATAAAGATTAAAAACATTTAAAATGAAAAAAATATTCCACATAAAAATAAAATATTAGCTCAAATAAAAAATAATATATTAGTATAAGTTTAGCGTATTACAATTTAACTAGAGAGACTACATGGCATAATGTAATTAATAAAAAATATTTTTATACTTATCAATACGAGGATTTAACATTTTGTAATAATTCTTTGAGATGTTAATATATTTAACTAAGAGGAAGTCTTACTAGCTTATTCTACATGATTTTAGTTTAAAATAAATGAATGGAGGTAACAATACGATAATAAGTTTTTGTGATAGAAAATAGGTTTTAGATTCAAGAAAGAAAACTTATATTTGGAGGATTTTTTTAAGATTTTAATTATTTATATTTTAGTTATTTTATTATAAATTATATTAATGCAAGTTATAGTCTGTTGAATTAAATTGTAATACACCAAAATATATTAACATATTTTTTATTTGAGCTAATATTTTATTTTTATGTGGAATATTAGTTTTATTTAAATATTTTTAATCTTTATGTTAGGAAGAATAAAATAAATCAGAAAAATAGTGTCTTAATTATTTATATATTTTATTTATTTTTTTATGAATTATATTAATGCAAGTTATAGTTTCTTGAGTTAAATTGTAATACACTAAAATATATTAATATTTTTTTAATTTGAGCTAATATTTTATTTTTATGTGAAATATTAGTTTCATTTAAATGTTTTTAATCTTTATGTAAGGAAAAATAAAATAAATCAGAAAAATAGTGTCTTTTATTGCTTAAACTATATTATTAAAAAAATTAACAGGCTTATAGAAATATAATCATGGGTTACGACTATACAAAGATTAATTTTTACGGTAGAGTTTCTGATAGCAATCTCGTAGATGAAGCAAATTTCGTTAATGCAACCATCAAACAAGAAAGTACGAAGATAATTTGTCTATCCCATGAAACTCAAAAGAGTGCAGAAAATTCACAGTAAGACAATTGTTTATCTAAGGATTTCTATCTCTTAACTCAAACCAAGCAAAGAACACATTATCCATGAAAGATTCGAATTAAACAACAACCCACACTAAGAATAGTAAGGACACCATTCAATATACTCGATCAGTCATCATTCAAGAGACTCAAGAAAGGTAGGAGCAAACAATGCTCAACTATGAAGGAATACTATTGATTAGTAATCTCCATAACCAACAAAGATATGTAACACATACACTATCTCAAAATACTTATGCCAAAGCACAACTCATCCAACAAAAGTAGGACAAACCCCACAATGGAACTCATGAACACACACATCATGAACTCAAAAACCAAGCGAAAAGAAAGACTCATCAATCGAACTACTAGAAGTAGTATGAAAATAAGAAGTTTAGTTTTAAAACAATTCTATCAAGAAGCATACTTGAAAAAGAACGGTTTCTGCAAGATCAAAAAATCCAAGACAAGATGAAAACCCTCTTGGTTAAATCATACTTGACACGAAAAATGGACACATCATTTAACAAAATTTTCTCACGGGAAAAACTCTCATTAAAGAAGACTCAAAATGACCACTCAAGGGTGGTTTAATTTTCGGCCATCCTCCCCTATTTATAAGCTAAGAATTTCAGACAAGCACCAAAAAAGAAGACCAACTAGGACTCTCTAATCTTATCTCACGCAGGAGTAGAAGTAGAAGAGTATTTGATCTCTTTGACTCTATCTAAAATCTAGGAAAGCTTATCTAAATGACTTATCCTCAAACAGGATAATACTTAGAAGAAATCTAAAACTCCTAATCAAAACACTCTAGTTTATTCAGTCCACATGACTTATTTAACTAGATAAAATTCGAAAATTAAACTCCTAGACTTAGACAAACTCTAATCTCGAAAATCAGCTCTAAATATTGAAGTAAAATGTCTTGAACGCCCTTCCAAAAGTGGAATATTGGTCTTGCGCCCCTCAAGTTGTAGAAAACTCCAATTTATTCCAAAACTTGTAGAATTCTCTTTATTGACTCCAAAAGATTGGAAAAACACTTGAAACAATTGAGATAGTTTACAACCTATCCAATTGTGTAGCAATAGACTCAATCTTGAACACTTTGATCAAATAGGCCGTCCATTCATGAACCTAAAGGATTCTTCTCTCTAGCTTGATCAATGATCTTCATGGAGTACCTAGAGTCAAACTCCTTTGATACTCCTGAGAACTTATTTCTATGAGTGAATCATCTCCTTTGGTTTGAACCCCAAAGTTAATGACATTCTCATCGTCTTGATCATAACTCTCTTGAACCAACTCCCTATCACATAGGTAGTCAAGATCCATCCTTTCTTCCTTGATTGGCCTGCAAAGTAAACTTGGCATTCCAAAACTAGAATGAAGGAGTAGCTCATTCCCCTCACTTGGAGAATCACCATGGAAGGCTACATGATTCTCATCATCCCCTCCTTCTTTAAGAGGATTCGTCCTCAAATCATCAACTTCTAAACCTGCACAAGGAACAAACGAGATATAAGGGTTAGTAAAATCCTCATCCTCACCACACTCTGATTTTCTCTCATTGTGTGCATATCTTTCTGTTTTCACACTATTTTCATGGTTTTCTCTTGCCTCAAGTCTTACCTCAGTGTGATCCTTTTTACTTTCTTGCGTCACTCTCTCGACTTTTTCTCTCCCTTGTGTATAGTTTATCTTACGTCTTTTCTCTCGCACAGATTCAGCTTCTTCATAAGCCAAAGGCTTAAGAATATATTTTTTGTCCTCTTTTAGTAAAGACAAAGATATTCTTCCAGCAATGGTGCACAACATCTACATCTGATTGCCAAGGCCTACCTAGCAAAACATCACAAAGAGACATAGGAATTACATCAAAGTAAATTTCATCCCTATACTCACCAACTTGAAAAGATACCATGGCCTTCTTAGTGACATCCACAACCATCTCTTCACTCAACCATTGAAACTTGTATGGTCTAGTATGCGGATCCATCTTGATTTCGTTTGCTATGCAAAATTCCTGACTTATACAATCAGTACTCGATCCACCGTCGATTACCAAATCAACTTCATTGGACCACCCAACCGAACACTTAGTACGGAAGATACATGTCCGTTGATCACCATCTTCAGCGCCAAATACCAACGCTTGATCCTCATTTGGACCATTCCAACCACAAGAAGTATCATGCTCTCTCTCCACTTCTAAGGCAGCGTAATATGCCTCATAGAGCCTTGATTCCCTTCTTACCTTTGGGTGTTGTTTGAACCCCTTGTCCAAACCATAGTGGAAACGATATGTCAACATGTAGTCGTTCTCATCCACCCCCGAACTCAGAAAAAAACCTTCTAACTCCTCAAAGTAAGATTGAACGAGTCTACCATTCTGCTTACAATTGAGCAACTTCACTTTTGCTTCATCAAAGGTGTTAGTACCAGCATATCTTTCTCGCAAAGCATTCCCCAAATCATGCCAATCATCCAAGTTACGATACCAATGATAGGAATTGATATTTGAAACTAGCTTCCACTAATTCAAAGCACTAGAACGAAAACAACCTATAGCTAAGGCTATTTTCTCACTCTCTTTCTCTATGTTAAGCAATTCAAACAAATTCTCTATGCTCTTTTCCCAAGTATCATAGTCTCTATGACAACTATAAAACAAAGGCAATGACACTTGCAACATTCCAGCATACGAGGGTACTTGTTTTACTTCAAAACGATCACATAAGACTCTTAAATTTTCAGCAATTTTCTCAAAACTTACCATAGCTTTATCTTGCTAATTTGAAAGCAGTTGAGACAAGTCTCAGTTTGTCTCCTTCACCTCGGCCAAAACATCATGCAAGTAGTCAATTTGACTCTTCATGAGCTATACTTGAGCCTCCATGCTACACTCTTTGAAGCAACTTGAGTACAATCAGCAACTCCAGATGACATCTTTGCTCAACAACTTTGAGAAACCACCAACAAAAGAAGTAATGTGCCTTTGTGACTACACAAAAACTCCTTGAACCCTAGAACCAATGATTGGTTCGGCCGAACCCCTCCCCCCCCCCCCCCCCCCTGCAAGAACCAAAGGAAGGTTTGAATAATGCTCTCCCCAAAAACAAAAACTCTCTTGTTCTTTTAAGAACACTAACTCTCAAAAATTCAGAATAAAGAAAAGAGTGATTCTCTTAATTTACACTTGTGATCTTGGCAGTAAGAAGAAGAAGAAGAATGGAGTAGAGTGGTGTGAGAATTTTCGAAAAACAGCACCCCTATTTATAGGCAATGCAAGTCTTTTTGTGTAAGAAAACTCCTACAAGATAAGACCTAAATTTTCTCAAAAATATTCCCCCCATTAATGAATAAAATTCAGTCAAACATATTGGAATAAAAAGGAAGAAAAACCGGCCACATATATATAGAAAAGGATAGAGTTCTAAAATTTAGGTAATCAT